TACTACGAAATAGAATAGAGCAAGGCTTCCGACAAATTCGAGAAACACCAGGAATGATAGAGAGAGTAACCAGATCAATGCCAAGACGCGTGTAGGCTTGTCTTCAAATGCAAGGTGGTCATTTCGAGCATCTTTTGTAAAAGTAATTAAAACAAAATTCATTATATCTCATAAACGAAGACAGATAGGACATATATTTATATGACTTTTTTTCATTATTTTTAGGCGTACAATCCGAAGTGGGTCCCACAAGTTACGAAACACTCTATATATGTTATATATATATATATATATATATATATATATATGTATATATATATATATATGTATGTATAATGTATATAATAAAATAATTTTAAAATCAGCGAAGAGCTTAGAATATTAAGGTTATAATTACAATATAACAAATATACAAAATAGTGTAATACACATGTATGTAGATAACTTGTCATGAACATGTATTTTGGTCTTCGATATTTCATTTATCGGAACATCAGTACATTAGAACATACATCCACTAAATTAAAAGAGAAACATAGCAATAACGAAAAACTAAATTCGATTAAATTTCAATTTTTTACAGGCCGCTGGCATATCCGTGGAATTTTGTAGTCATATTATACATTCGTATTTAAAATCCACCAAGAATACAAAACTTGATCGTGCGTCTGATGCTCTTAACGAAATGGGAAGTTCAGTACGTATATACAATATAAATAAGTAAATATATATATACACAGGATGTTTCCAATCCGGTGGTATAAATGGAAAGATGATTTTACAATAAAAAAATAAGTCGAAAAGAAAGAATAAAATTCTTTCATTTAAGGCTTTACTTTCGAAAAAATCAAGTTTGGAAATTTATCAAGTACATATATTTAAATTTAGCTAATACTGGATTGATCAGAAATGAATAAAGAACAGAAAGTTATTTTCCTGTGAAAATAAGTCAAAAGCGTGAGATACAATTTCTTTATAATATCCTATGTTTTCGAGAAAATTTAAGTATGCATAGTATAGATGCATACTTGAAAATCAATCAAATTTTAATTCTTAATTAAGTATGTTCAAAGTCTATATTTTAGTTAAAGTCTAACATGGAAAAATTAAATAGGAAAATGGAAAAATTTTATTCTACATTCTTCTCTTACTTTCACAAATAGAGCATTAACTCCTACCTAGTTCAAGATTGACTAAATTCAAGTATACTTGAAACATCTTCAAACTCCATTTTCTTAAAAGCGAAACCTTAAAAAAATTTATTCTTTCTTTTTTCGATTGTACCACTGGACACACAAACTTGTATGTTTTGCATGTCAATTATTTAAATATTCTTTACCTGTTAATCTTAAGTTAAAATCAAAATCACTAAGAATTAATATATTATTTTTCATTTTTTTTTTTTTCGTTTCAGGTATTCTCTGGTATTACATTAACCAAAATTATAGGTATCATTGTACTACGGTTCTCGAAAACTCAAATTTTTGAAATATTTTTCTTTCGAATGTATTTGAGTATCGTAATTTTTGGTGCTGCGCATGGTCTAATATTTTTACCAGTGCTATTAAGTCTTATAGGTAGGAAAACTAATATTGAGCATCATAAGTAGTTTTAAACACATGATGTGTTTCTTTTATCTTGTACACCTCGTCGTTACTGTTGCCAATACAAAAAAATGCGTCGAGATAAAGTTATTTGATTTCAAATGAACTTTTTTATAGAAATGTTTCTACATTTACAATCTACATCAGATGTATGTGATATGTTGATTTTTAAATAACTTTAAATGAACTAATAAATGATCTTTGTGAAAAAATCATGACAATTTAAAAAAAAAAGGTAAATTGAAGATTTTTTTGTTTCTACTCTAAATGTCCTTATTTTAAAAAATATGCAATGTGAATTGCATTAGTTTTAATGCTTGATAAAATAATTGACAAAGATGGTCAAAATAAAAGAAACACTTTGTATATAAAATATATCGCCATGCGTTAAGAAAACAAGCACAGCTTATTTGTCTTATAAAGAATAGCATATTTCACCTAACAATAAAAAAAAATAACTTTTCTTATGAAACACATTTCGTCTATGCAAGAAATAATCCATTTCGTCATTTTGCTAAAAACATGATAATATTTAGACATTTCCAATGAAAATTGGCACATATTGTTATACAAAAAAAGAAAGGATTATTTATAAAATTAATTATAATTATTATAATTATAATTATAAAATTAATTATAATTATTATAATTATAATTATAAATTTAATTATAATTATAATTATAAAATTAATTATAATTATTATAATTATAATTATAAAATTAATTATAATTATGAATAATTTATAATGGTTTATACAATTTTTAATTAAAAGTAAACAATTATTATTAGAATTAAGTAAAAGTCAAATTCTGATTGTATGAGATTTCATACAATTCTAATTGATTCTCGTTATTTAAACGTGATTATTTTCATTTTTTATTCTACATTGAAAAGTATTAGTTTTTGCAGTAAAAAAGGCTCCCTATCACTGAAAAATTTACCAATGAATTTTCCTTTACGGAAGAAAATGAAGTGTGATATTTGAAATCGCGTCAAAAACAAATGTGTTCTCCTTCCATAAGACAAATGAGACATGCTTACATACTTTTTTTCTTAAGATCGGAATATACAGTGGTTTCAGAAAGTTTCCGTATGCAAAATGAAAAATTATCGATATTTTAAACTCTTACTAACTGCATGAAAAAGAAATCATAATATTTTAAGGGACTGTTGTAAGAAGGGATCTTTGATCATTAGTCATTAATTAGTCATTAAGTCATATTTAATCTTTAATCTCTAATCATTAAGAGAACATTAATCTTTAATCATTAATCATTAATCTTCAATCTTCAATATATATATATATATATATATAATTAACCCATTCAGCTTAGTATTCTCATATCCGATAAAAAATTGTCAACATTTTAAACTATTATGACTTCTTAATAAAAAATTGTAGACTTGTCAATCTTTTATTCATTTTAAAGTAGAAAGCTTCTATTCTGTATTTGAAGATATATTTACGTCATTTTGAAGAAGATTAAATAAAAATCTTTTTTCTCTCAAAAATTTTATAGTATGAAACGTTTTTATGGACACTAAAAAAATTTTTTTCGTAACTAAATCCATTATCGATTTTTCCTTTACAACGACCCCTTGAAAATTATTGTATAATTTCTTTTCAATCGATTTTAATTTCTTTTTTATCAAAATATCGATATTTTTTCATCATATGTACGGAAACTTTTTGGTACCTCTCTGTATGTGGATCAAACTACCATACAGCATATTGCTTATACGTATGTAATTAATTTCAGGTCCTGAGTAATAACAAATACTAAAATAAAAAGCTGAAACAAGATTACAAAATCATTTAGTAAATGATACATAACCAGTAATTCAATAATTATTAACAACGAATAGTATATCTTTGTTTTTATAATTTATTATTATATTTTAAGGACACAAGCAAAAGTTAATTTTCTAGCTAACTGAAACACATTAAATTCATATGTAAAATAACATCATTGTATAATAATGTCAGATCATTATTTCTTTAAAAATATATTTATATTAAATGAAAGTGATGATAAAATAAAAAGGAAATAGTCTCTTTAGAAAAAAATGATCACTGCATTTCAAACTATAGGATATCAAGCAGAAAATTAAATAGAAAATAAGAAAATAAAACAATTCTTATTCTTCAAGAACTGTCAATCATCATTTTTCAACAAAATCTTTTAAATTTCGACACGTAACAACTTATTTTATTTATTGTAATTACTTACATCTTTCTATTATATCTCTAAATTTTATATTATTGAAGAATGTTTTTCTTTTTGTAAATTTTAAAAATTAATAACTATTTTATATAAAAAATATTTAATATTTAATATTTAATATATAAATATTTAATATTTAATATATAAATATTTAATATTTAATATATAAATATTTAATATTTAATATATAAATATTTAATATTTAATATATAAATATTTAATATTTAATATATAAATATTTAATATTTAATATATAAATATTTAATATTTAATATATAAATATTTAATATATAAAAAATTATATTTGAAATTTTATAACAATTTTATATTAAATTTTACAAGAACTTATTTTACATGGCTTGACATGATGTCCATGGATTTGAATTCATTGTTCTATGATCATTGTTCAATGAAAAAATACAAGTTGCAATTTAAGATATAGTAATTCGAAAGATTTTTTTTTCTTTATCTCCTCCCGAATTCAGAATTCTTTTTTTCTTTATCGTCCAACAATATATATTTATAAATCAGGCTCTGCTCCATTCCAAATTTTCCCGACTATTTGAATTCATTCTTGAACCATTCCTGATATATATATATATATATATATATATATATA